TATTTATTGATTTATATGTATGAATACTTAACGTCAGTCTCATCGTCAAACTCATTGAACCAATTTTGATAAAATTGGTAGATTTGGTAACATTAAATATGCTAATGAAATGGAACTGAGATCCCAAGAACTATTTTTTTCGTTTTTTAGCTGGTGCCATTTAGTTTTTTATAATATTGCACCAAGAAAAGTGAAATTCAAATGTGTGTCTGTGTCATGAAACAAAGAAATATAGATAATTCATTGCGCAGGTCCGTTATTTTTGTTTGTTAATCAGCTGTTTTTGTGTGACGTCACTGTAGTAGAAAATTTGGTTGTGTATTTTGTATTTTGTGATTTATTAAAAACAATTTAAAGTTTAAAACAAAAATTAATAAAAATTAAGTGTGCTGTTGTAAACTGCAATAAAAGCAATGAGGGAAAAGCTTCTTTTTGCAGTTTTTTCCGTTTTCCAGCTAATGTAACGCTTCGAAAGAAGTGTATTAGCTTTTGCGGCCGGAAGAAGTTAAATCCAGACACTTCTTTTGTTTAAACAACATTAAATTTATTGATGACGCGGTTCTCTCAGATGAACGAGAAATTGACGATTTACCTTACGATGGTCTGGAGAACTTCGCTGGCTATATATGCCACAAATTGAAAGACGCGGTTCCAGATATTGCCGAGCATAAAAATACAGACGCTCTTTCCTTTACATGGGTAGACCATCTCAGTGAAGGTGGATTGTCTAAGCCAACACCAGAAATGATGACATATATGAAAGGACTAGAATCCGTTTTCAATTCAGTTAATGAAAACGATTTATTAATAACAAATAATTTCTTAAAAATTCATTTGCAACGAGCACAACACATAAAGTGCAGTGAAAAAATTAAAAAATTATTCTTCTGTGCCAGAATGTATTTAAAAATAAGAATTTTAAATCGGGAAATGCAAAAATATGAAAGTAAAGTTATTGCGAAATCTAACAATATTTTCATTAAAATATAAATGTAGACAAAATTTCCCCATATTAAATACAAGTGTTCGTATGATTGTGTTTTGTTTATTTACTACTGTGACGTACATGCGCAGAACAATAAAATTTTGAGAACGTGAATGCGCTATCTTGTATTCTATATTTCATGTGTCTATGTAAGGACACTAAAAAAAATTTCCAACTTTTCTACGCTGATAAAGGGTCTCGACCGAGAACATGTATCTTATGTCACAAGAACTTATGTTTACTCCTCTCAACAGGATTATCCACATCGGATGCAACGGTGCTGAAACAAGGTCGAGGCAATATATACCTTGCATCTGTTTACCTGCCTTTCGATTCTCCGACACTACCACCAACGTCGGAGCTGATGAAACTGGTTGAAGAGGCACAAAGGAAAAATAAGAAAATTGTAAACGAAATTCAGGATTGGAGAGTTTCGGACGAGCACTCCTTTTCTGTCCATTGATACATAAGATTCAAAATACTACGGCCGCCACCAAAGCCGATAAAGTTTCGGAATAACTCTAAAACTAATTGGAAAATGTTCGGTTCCTTACTAAAACACCGTTTATGTCAGGACACTTATCAATGTCGAAATAAAGAGGACATAGACGCCAAAGTAGAAATGCTCACAAGTGCCCTGGTTGAATCGTTCGAGGACAGCTGCCCTCTGCGAGAGCGGAAATCTACCCAGGAGAAATCCTGGGTAACTGGGGAGATCTTGGAATATTGAAACGGTGGGTAGAACTACAAAGATCATATGGGGTGACCCTGATGAGAACAAGACGAGAAATCTCCTCAAAATGAGCAAGTCTGAAGTTAGTATGATGGTACGTATTCTGAGTGGACACACAGGATTACGAGCACATCTATACAAAATTGGCCGTGCGGATTCAGACGAATATAGAGCATGTGGAGAGGACAGTGAAACTCTGGAGCACTTTCTTTGCCACTGTCAAGCATTCGTCGAAGTTAGATCCAAGTACCTTGGAAGTGATGTTATTCCGGAAATAACATTCCTGACTAACACTGATTGGAAAATTCTTAGGTGTATATTTTCGGATTTGATGTACTATACATCCTCCTGTCAACCTAACCTAACATGTGTGTCTTTTTCGTCTTTAAATATAAAATAAAATAAGACTCTAAAGTACTTGGGCCAAAATAGATTCTGCAACAGAGTCAGAGGCAAAGTATGATGACATAGCTCCATAATTGGTCCTACTCTGCTGACTTAAAAATGCCACAATGTCAATGAAATTTAACATAAACAAGTTTTATGGTAACAAAAATCATTCAGAAAATTACTTTAACGTTCATATCTTGTGTAAAAATGCCAGTATAACGATGGAATTTTACGTAATCATGTTTCATATTAACACACATCTATCTACCAACTTTTATGAGGATTGAACCATAATTGACCCTACCTACATACAAGCTCCCCTTCCGAAAATAACTTTAAAATTATAGTACAGCATTGAAATATGACATAATAGAGTTTTATAAAAGTTTTTTAGGAAACGAAACCTATCTAAATATTGAAAAAATCTTATTCTTAAGTTAAAAAAATATTTTTTTTTATCGCATCCCATTATGGGACTATAAAACCCTTAAAGGGAATTGTCTAAGCATTCTTTTGAGGAAAAAATTGAGTTTTTTATTTTTTTTTGTTTTGGACAATTTTGTTCTGACAATTTTTGCAAGGACCAATATGTGAAAACTTACATTTGAAAAAAACACTGCATGACCCTGACTCCGGCAGTTCTCGATTTTTTGAGTTGGGTAACTTGACATGAAAGTGCCCATATATGAAAGAGTCGCGCTACTGAATAAAATCTATTCCTGGGCGAGAAGGAAGTAAAGTACTTATTAGTACTTTACATAAATTAAGAATTTATGCCACAAATTATACTTTTTGTTTGTTCCAAAATATGAATCCAAAACATATTATTATTAAACATACACTGTCCTAATTTAATAATATTTTTTAAGAGATAACTGTTTAGTACCTTTTATACCTACTTTAAAATGTACTTTATGAATTTTATAAAATATTAAACCTATAAATATGAATTTGAATATGCAGAGTCCTGACTGAAAAATAATCTGTAAGTGGGGACTCTTTGGCACTTTTTCATTCTCCAAATTAAATGAGAATTTATAGAGGGTGATTTTTAATATTGAATATAAAATTTAACACGCAGGGACTGAAAGGAACTTTTTGGTACTTTTTCGTCCATCATATTATACTTTTTGAATTTTTATAATATTGAACACATAAACAATGTTTATTAAACATACATTTTTTCATTGAATGAAAATCAGTAAGAGGTATTTTACAGTGCTTTTTCCTTCTTCAAATATTACTTTCGAAAAGTAAACAAAATTTTGGATGCTCTTATTTTTAGTTAGTTAGACTAAACTATTCAATAAAATTTCAATGCGAACGCCTGGATAATTTAGGTGTTCTATGGTACTTTTTCAAGATCTGAACCATTTGACTAAAAAACTAAGGGATTTAGAATAGTTTCCATAAGTTTAACAAAAGTGTCAAATATGTGTGCAATTATCATTCCAATAATCTCTTAAGTAAGAGGGAATAGCTGGAAAATTTGTAATCGTTGCTTAACTCTCTGAGCCGAAACAAAATCGTATAGAATTTGTACTCAGAATAATTTAATAAACGTATGGAAAGAAAAAGGAAACGAAATAAAACAATGGATTAGGTTTTTTCTGTTTTGTTTATTAAACTATTTGGACAGTGGATTCTTAACAATATGAATATGAGAAGTTGGACTGTATGGTTAGCTTGGAGGTAGAATTTGATCTCGCACAAATAAGCATTTATGACATTTACGAACTATGACATTTCTTTTAGAACATTATGACAAGTAATTGTATACTGCAACACGTAGCAATCAGCATTTGCATATATTAGAAGGAATTAGGGTTTGCATGAAGTAAGGAATATTAACGAAAGTAAGGAAAAAATGCTACATGTTGTTTTTGCCGTAAACAAAAGTTACTAAAAATCTTAAAAGAGAATGATTAAACAAATTAAGGTACTTTGGGAAATGTTCTAATAAAACCATTAAATTAAATATATTCGTATTTACTTAAATATGAGTATTTATCTTCATTAGATAACTTAAATCTTATTTTTGGATATAGTCAGTCAATATACTTAGTAGTCAAAATTCCAATTTCAAAATTTGTTTAAATAAATTTTAAAATTTGTATAAGATCTCCATGTGACTCATGGACAATAAAGGAATAAAACAGTAAAAAATTAGGTCAATGTGTCTCACATATTAACGGTACCTGCGACTCGAATTTTGAGGATTTTCCGAAAAAAATTCGAAATAAGTTGATCTGATCGGTGTTATATCATTAAATCTAGATATTTCGGGAAATTATCGTATGTCGAGATAAATGGTTTTGTCCACAGAAATACATATGTATATTAAATATTCTAATAACTGATGTAGAGTATCATATGGTCGTGCATGACCGACTATACTATACATTTCTCGAAATCCGCCGAGTTAAATCGCAGGTACAGCTAAACTGTGAGAAGAATTGATCTTATTTTTTACCGGTTAATTCCCTTATCTAATGTCTATAATTCCCAAGAGATCTCCTAAAAATTTTAAAACTTGTTTAATAAAGTTTTTAAAAAACTGTAATTGGAGTTTTCAAACAGCCGCTGAAAAAAATCTAACTTTTTTGACCATAGCTGAGAAGAAGTTTGCGTTATCATCTTACATATAAGGACAAAAACTAATAGTCGAGTAATTATTGATATATACAAAGAACAATTCTAGATGACGGACCAAATTTGTTTTCCTCATACAAACTTGGAGCACTCTAATGTATATATATGACAATTTTCAAATCAGCTTCGACTTGAACAACGTCTACCGGCTATATTGAGAGGACTAAAGAAAACACAGTGCATGTGATGATTCTCGATAGGAATTTAAAATAATTCTTGTAAATATGTGCGAATACAACATTTACATATTTTTTTGTATTTAAATTTATTAAATATTTATAATAAATATAAGTTACAGTAAAAATTCATACATATAATAATAGTAACTGAGAAACTTATTCAAATGCATGCAAAACAAACTTACATACATTTTAACATTGTACATTCATACATATTATATATAATACATACATAAAATAAATGTATGCACATATTTTATTAAAAATTGTACATTTTTTTTGTTTTGTCTTCTTCTAAAATTAATAAGTTAATTATTAATTTACAGGTCCACTATTTTGATTTGACTTTTTGTATTAAGACAATGGCATTATTATTGGAGAAAGATTGTTTTGTTGTGAATCTTGTTATATTCAATGCATAAATATAAGTTAGTTGTAATTTTTATGATTATTAGGAGGATTTAGTTTTCATTAGATAAATTTCAATATTATAAAATATTTAAGTCTTAAAAATTAAATACACATTACATAGGCATATAAATATTATAATAAATACATTTAGGTATATATAGGTGAAAAATTATGATGGAGATTCGTTACACGTTCATTTTGCAAAACTAAAATGAACTTTTTTTTAGGAATAGTTATTTCATTTAATCATTTAATCATCTGAAAAGAAAAAAAATATTAATTAATAATAGTTTTTTTGCGCTTGCAACAACACATACTTAGAATTTTTGAAGCTTTATCGAAGTTATCCGACAAGGCATTCTTGAATTTATCCACAGAATTTTGAACATCATCACTGTGGTCACCATCGTGATAATAAACAAAGTATACCACAATACCAACGATTATAATGATAACCAGGAACGCACTAATAATAGACATTAAAACTCCGACTGCACAATTGAGACAACTGGAATTAGACAGAAATAAACAAAATATTAAATTATTACATAATATTAAATTATTTTAATACTTCAGAAAAATTAGTACAAAAAAAAAACAATATAACAATCTACGCAACTTTAAATAGCTAAATTACAAGTTATTAAGGAGCCTCTTCTTACGGTCATAATTAATGTGGTAAAAAATCAAATTTCGTCTTGGTTGAAATTCATTTTTAGAAGCACATAATTAATTGGTTTTCCATTGCAATGATATTTTCGAATCTTAATATTTTTATTCTGATAAAAAACTATATGTCCATTTTCAATTAGCTATCTAAAATTCCGCAGAAAAAATCCTTATTTTATTTGCTTTTTGATAGCAGATCCTAACTAAACGCATTTGTTATTAATATGTACTTAACTTTTCATAATATTCTTTTAATTAAAATTATTCGAATTTATAGCCACATCAATATCGGAAGAAAAGCTAGTCTCTTGAATTCGAATCAAATTTGGTTTACCGACCTCGAAAACTTTCGTTTGAATGTAGGAATAATAACGAATAGAAATTGAAAGTGTCCGAACGTATAATTTTCCCAAATATTGATTAAAGATAACGTAATCTTAATATTTAAATATGGGCAATATCGGTCTACAATTTCCCCTGGCCTCCATAGAAGACCTCCGGAATATTGCTTAAATACTCATATGTAAATATATTAATTTTGCGCAAGATAGTTTTATGCGTCCAGAATTTATATCGGTCGATATATGTCATTACAAGCCCAAATATATCCCCGCCTTTCCATATAAATGTCCGTAGTTTATCCCACACTTCCATTCAAAAATTATAAAATTATGATAAAAAGTTCGGTCCACAATTGACCCATATTCCTAAAATCATTCTGATATTTATATTGATGTCAAAATACAAGGTTGGCAGCCGATACCGTTTAAATACCGTTTAAAATGGAATAACGGTATTGATATCGATACCGAAATTATTTTATTGGTATAAATACCGATATTCAATTACCGTTTACCCTTATACTGGTAGAATACTGTTATCATAACGTTAGCAATACCGGTATTATACCAGTTTCAATACCGATATCTTGCATCTATTAGCATTAAAGTTATCTAAAGTGGTAGAAGTTGGATATTTATATATTTTTTTAAAAATTGCAATCATTACAATGCAATGTAATAAAAAAGTACTGGTCATTACCAAAACATGAACAAATTTGTATATGTCTATTGTTTATCTGCGAAAATTGAGACTACTCGGCACACGCGTGTAAAGAAAGATTAGGACTGGTCCAAAACTAATCCAAATATATGAATTTAACATTGTGATGTCCTAGGTGAGGACCACGTAACCTTTCTATGCATTACATTAGACTAATCCCAAAACTACTCTCTTGCTAAAATGATTTGATCAGCCCTATTGTCCTATCATGTAGTCCAACAATGTTTACAGGGAAGTAGTTTTAGTATTACCTAAATCTTAAATTAATAAAAAAGAAAATGTCCACCCACAAATGTATACAATATGTTTTCTGCGGCCGTTTTAAGATGATCTGCAAAACGTTACAAGGCCCAAATGGAGGAGCCTCCAGAAATTTCTGTTGGTGTTATTTGCTGTATTTAATGAGGATCGGTTCGGATCGGTTCATTGACAGTACCCTAATAATACTTTTAAACAATATTAAAAGTAATCACTCTATAAAATTCTGTAGACCTCGGTCCATAATAGTAACTATTTATTTATACAGTATTTATAGTAAACAATTTTATTGACTTTTCCAAATTCTGTGATAATAGTTCTATTGTTGAACCCACTCTTGCATGTTTTCTTTTAACTTTAAATTAGTTTTAATACAATTTTTATTTATTATATACCGATATAATTTAAATACCGTTATCGATACTGAAATAATAAAAAAATTAATACCTATACCGTTGTTCGTTTCGCTTGCCAATCTTGTCAAAATATGATAACGGAATACCACAAGTCTATATATGGGCCTCTTTCTGAAATTTACAAATATATGATAATATTTTACTTGTTGTCTCTACAGCTTCTAACTTTATTACAACGCAACAAGTATTTGTAGAATGTGTGTTGATTGCAATAAGTGCAATAGAGGGCACAGTGACTAAGAATTAAAGGCCTATAGACATGTTCCATGTTGAACAGGATAATACGTGTAAATTCATATTGCCTAGATTGATTGGTCAATCTATTGGAATTTTAAATTATCAATGCACTAATGCATATTGGCAGTATATCGATTTATATAACTGTTATTGCATTTTACATAAAAGCAATATATTGTTTATTTCATAAAATGTTCAATACGAAAGCAAAATTGCATTACTAATTCACGACTTCAGAAGTCGTGAATTTGGAATCATAAAAAAGGACATCACTCCTATAACAAGCCTGTGTTAAAATATTTGCTTCTGCAGCTTTTTATAGTACTTCCATGGAGTAAATCCTACTTCATTTTTGCTTCTTTGGAAGTTATTTTTTTTTTGCGGGAGTTCGACTCTCCTTACACAATTTCACTCGAAGTTGTTAAACTATAATTTGTTTACTTTCGATTAGAACACTTAAGAAAACTGAAGTTCGATATCATTAAACAAGCTATTAATCTATTTTTAAAGTTATTACATTTATGTGTATAAAAATACATATATGTATACTGTATGTATGAATATTTATAGAACAATACGCGTAGATATATAAAACAGTACATAAAAATGTATGTATATATGTATGTAATTCTACTGAAACTATTAATTTTTCTCTTCGTAATGTATTTGACACACAAAACTTTTAATCTTATAAGATGATGTCATGATAATAGAAAAGAATATTTATGAATAAAATGGGGAGGAATTTTCAAATTGGATAAATATAAATAAAAAAATTATACCAAACAAATAATGCGTCATTACTTAAAAGACATGACTGAATGTCTGGCGGGCTATTCGATAATAAATAGTCGCCGCCACAAGCAGCACTAACATACAGGAAATATCATATACTTCCTGTTTTTTCATCTATGTCGCATCTAAATATCTCTGGAGTAGGGGTGAGCGAATACCAGGACGAAACAAACAATTTATAACAATTAGTGGGGTATCAGGATTATAATATATGTATATACATAGATACTTTCATACATACATATGTACATACATTTAAAAAATTGCGTATAATACGGTCTCGCCTGACTGGAGACACTGAGAACGACACAAAAGCAGTCTTAATCATTTTATGAAAACATTCCATTCTATTTTGAATTATTTCATGAGAGCTGTACATTATTATCCTTTCTTGCATGTCAATATGAAAATGTACATTGGCGCCAAAAGAAAAAAAGTTTTGTAAATAAAATAATATAAAAAAAAACAACAACTAACATTAAATAATAAAAACCCTTAAAATGTAAATAAACTATTCGGCAGCTGTTTACTACATTAAACTATATGTAGTATGAATACTAGGGAGGCCCAGTTGGAATGGAGGGAAATTATATGGTGCTGATGTTCCCGAAAAAGAATACAACATTCTTCTTTATTTTAATTCCTTTCAGTGGAATTTTGTGAACAGTAAACATAAACATTATAACTTTTCCTTACCAAATCAAATGTGTTATAATTAAAAATATATCTTATATGTATGTAAAAAGGAACAAATATAGTGATTGGGACAGCTGATCCTGATAACACCAACAAACAAATTGTTAACCCAGAGACCAAAGTATATTTTTCTAGAGAATTTATCAAATCTGAAACCGGATCTAGCCCCAAAATGTATTCATCACATCAGGTTTTCTAAACCTTAATTCTTAGTTTCTGAATTATGCTTTGTTGATGACATCATATTTTAACAAATGATCCTATATATGTATACCAACAGATCTTTTAAGAATCAAACATTTTCAAAACAATAATTTCACAGACCAACAAAACTTTAAGAAATACAAAACCCAGAGACCAATGTGTACTTTTCTAGAGGATTGAGCTGCTGTGAATCCGAATCTGGCATTAGAATTAATCCATCCAGACATCGTGTCATAAAGTTTGAAAAAAACGTTCTTGGCCATATTTGAGGGGTGTGTTGTACTTCGCATAAAATCAAAAAGCGAACGTTTTATAAGAACAATGCTGTGAAAACTTCGAACGTTTTGCTTTCATTGAACAGCTCAAAGATACCTTTATTTATAAAAATTGTTATGTCATCTCAAAGCCCAATCTGCCGACTTTAAAATAAAAATTTAAGCTCTGTAATATTTTTTCCTTTTTCAAGAAAACCTAAATGGATTATAATTGTGTTTTAATGTACATTTTGCACAGATTATTAAATTTATAAATTTTATGAAGAAATTTTGAAATAAGTGTTAGTTTAATAATCTGTTAGAATTTGGTATGGAAAATTAAAAATATATCTTAAAAAAGTTATAATTATTGTGACCAACCTCAATTCTCTATTTAGAACTATGTGGTATGCTAATTTGTGGGTTTGTATTTAGCAAGTATGTACATACATTTGTACATATGTATGTATATTCCCATATCCATAGCTATGAATAGTTTTTGTTTATAGTTTTGTTGTGGCTTTTATATTTGAATAACAATAGAGCGACTGTGCCGCAACAATTGAGGTCTCAACTTTCACTTGAAACATTCCTTTTTCTATGATTCATTCGTTGGGAAGTCCTTTAAGTGCAGTTTGTTGTTTGTTGAAAACGTTATGATGCATGCAGTTGATTGCTGTAAATTGTTATACTGGTGACCCAAATTTATGATGATTACTTTTACTTGTCATAGAAGTAAAATATTGAAAAATAATGTCACTACAGTGTCTCTCAATTATAGCAATTTAAAAATATACCAGTGATTACCAAGATTATTTAGCTTTGTTATACATATTAAAAGATATTCCAAAACTTTTTTAAGCAAGCTTATCACAGTTCAACATTATCGTCAGTGATTCGTCACAAGACATATTCAA